TATGAGGTTTAGTTCCTCATTGTTGGTAATTAATCACTGAGGACTCAATTAGTATTTCTAGAGTCCAACTTTTAGTCAGCTTAACCAAACTTGCTCCACATTCTGTTTGACACCTATGGAACAAAATGCAAGCGTCACTTGTTCAATTCGTTTTCCTATTTTACTGAAAATCTGTTAAATAGTTGCATAAAAACTACAATAAAATCAAGCTTCCACATGGGTGTAGTGACATCACATAAGGGACCTGATTAGAAATGTATTTAGTTTAAATTATTTCCTCAGTTGTTTTTATTTATTACAACTCAAGCAACACATCTGAGACATAAATCAGATTTTTTTTTTAAGATTTTAAATTAAGATTTCTAGTCGGCCTTTTTTTATACTCGGGGGGATATAAAAGTCCCAGGGAACTGCTGTATCATCCAACACTTTGGACTAAAGTGATTCTCAGGTAGACAAACTTATGAGTCCAGTTCTCCCAGTTAGCCCCATCATCCATGCATTCAATCGACATATTGTCTGGCAGATGGAAAGGTAAATGTTTATTAGGGTTTCAGAATACTGGCAAATCTCATTACTACTTAAAGCTTTTTTTTTATGTGGAACAGATGCAGTCAGATGAAAAAAAAATCAATTGGGGAAGCAGTTGCGTAAGATGCAGGACTGTAATTGATTCAAACCCCAGCTCTGTCCTTCATTACCTATGATTGTGGTCAGAGGCCTTGGTGATGTTTTTGCCAAACAGCTCAATTTGTCTCACTGTTCAGAAAGGTGCCAGATGGAGGAAGAGGGATCATGTCCAAGATCTGCTCCTGTCTCCCTCCCCTCTGAATGTGAAGAAGTCAGTGTTATATGAGTCTGTTGGAAAGCTCTGAAGAAAACAGCTCAGTCAACGTCTATTAGCCAGATCATGCTTACCCATGCATGAAAGTTACCAGGTAGTTTGGAGAAGTTACTGGGATTGGTCATTTGGATCCAAGAAGATTTTGGATTGGTTGGCCCACAAAGTTTAGAATTGTATATATATCCAGGGGAGTGTTGGCCTAGTGGTTAGAGCAGTGCACTGGTGCTCTGAGAAGGCTGCAAGTACCCGGTTTGATCCCCACAGCCTCCACTCTGGGTCCCTGAGCAAGACCCTTAACAACACACTGCTCCCCGGGCGCCAAACAAAGGCAGCCCACCGCTCCCCGACGGAATGAGTCAAATGCACAGAGTGAATTTCCTCATTGTGGAACAATTAAGGGATTTATATTACATACATAGCATCAAGCTTAGTTGAATACTTGGGATTGTGGTTATGTCTGATAATGTACCATTTTTGTGCTGAAAAATATTCCCGTCAGCTAATTTTTTGATAATCTGCTTACAGTAAACCCATGAAATGGGAGGATTTCAGATCAACTGAAATCCTCCATTGATATTAGAGACACAATTTTACATTTTAAGATTAAAGTGCATGTTTACATAGGCTGGGCATATTTCATTAGCATTGTTACAATGATATTTCTCTTTCAGATTGGAATTATGTAATATAAATCAGAACAAGACCTCTCTTTTAATTCAGATACTGATAGGTACCTGTTGTTGTTGAAATACATTTTTTTTTTACAGTGTTTGTTCCTGGGTTACTATGGAATGGTGCTTGGATTCTGTTTGTTGTTTAATGCAGATTTTATTTTCTCCCAGTCAGCTTTAGCTTGAAAATATTGATTTATTAATGATGAGGTGAATTCTTGATTCTTTTGTTGATCAGCTTTCATCCATAGTTATAACTTAACTGAGGTCTTACAAATAACTGCTGAATCCTGAAGAAAAAAAATGAAATTCGAACCTTCTTCTCTCAAATAAACAGATTAGACATCTTAAAACAGTGATTTATATAGGTTTAAAAAGATCTAATATATTTCTCACTTTCCTGTTTCAGGCTTGGAATCAAACATCTAGGAAAAAATTTTTTTTTTTCTTATTGAGTTTTTTTTTGTTATTTATAAGTCCTGCAGAGAAAATCCATACCCCCATTACTCTGCTAATTCTGCTGGCAGTGAACACTTTTTCCTGAAGCGGTGGTATTTTTAAAGATGTGTCGTTATTTATTCTCCATGTTAGCCTGAGTTTAGTTTGTAAACAAACACAGTTTCATGATTTGACTTGTCATTGGATGCATCAACATGCCTGCCAGATTCTTGGCTAGAAACACAAGAAGCCATTGCCCACATGGCTGGTGGCTTTGCTCCAGTTTGTTGGTGGACAGCCCTCTGAAATGTGGGCCATTTCTTATTGACATGATGTTGTTTATAATTAGGTGTGTTTGAAAAAAAAATATTATAAAAATATAAATAAATGGGGCTTTGCTTTTGTTAACTGCGGACCTGAATAGAAACTTGTTACCGTAAATAATGGCTTTCTTCTGATATTTGCACAGCAAAGTGAAAAATACGTTATAACTGAACCTGTACTTTAAAAGCAGGTATGGAGTTCATTGCTTCTGCTCCTAACTGAAGCGACAGTCTAGTTTGACAAAACTGTACATGCAAAGATCAAAGTCCTACCCCTTTGGCTACAATTCAGCAGTCTACACATTTTTTCCGCACAGTAAAAATAAATATCTTTTACCTTTCGTCTCCTGGGGTTTGAGTTTTAACACCAAAGAGTTTATGATGAGTACTGCAGAAACCGCCCAGGCAGCACGGCTTCCTGCCAGTCTCCTGCTGAGATCAGAGCACTTTGAGCAAAAGCAGAAACTTTTTTGATGCTTTCTGATCATCCCATGCAGACATTCATGATTTTATAATATGGTATGGCACACCTAAGGTTATTTTGTGTTATAACATCACACTTAGAGTAATCAATACATAACATTTACTTATATTTTAGTGTTTAGTATCTAAACAGGCTGCAGAGAAACTTAAATATTCTATAGCCAGTATTACACCTTCAACAGTTCTTGGAATAATTTGATTATTTAGGTATTTGAACTTTCATTTGAATACATTTAAATAGAGTAAATCCCTGACCCTATGCTGACCGTCTTTACATTCCAACTATTTATGAGTTTGAAGCTTAATGTGAATCAATTTCACAAACATTTCAGATTTGTATATGTTGTCCGGATATAACATGCAATCCTTCTCACACAAAAATAATACATTTCTCATCACAATTAGTTCTTTCAAGCCTGAAATCAATCTAGAGTTAAACCTAAGTTTCACTCTGTTTTCTGCATAGCCCTGCTTGGGAAAAGATTTCATGTCCTACAGACAAATTGATGCAATAGTTAAGCCTCAGTGGCAATTAGTATATTTATTTATTCAAGGAAAAGAAAACTTTGCCAACTGTCAAGCATGGATGCCTCATGCAGAGGCTCTAAAATCCCACAGTTATTTAAAACTTGGACACAGTTTGGTCCAAGAACACATCAGACATGAAATTGGACTGAATAAAGTATGCTAACATAAAAATTCTGGAATGGTGCAAAGAACATTTCTGCTGTGTCCAAATAGTGAGTTTATTAGAGCCATTATACTGCAAAAAGCGATCTTGAAATAAGTAAAAGTGTCTAAAAGTTTATTTCCCCTTTATTTGAGAAGGGAAAATAGATGATTTGCCAATAGAATTAGTTTTTTTACTCTTAAAGTTATTTAAATAATATGCTCTTTAGATAAGATAATTCAATTGTAAATGTAAAATAGATTTAAATTTTTGCAGTGTATAAACATATTTGATGTTAGTCTATAATAGAATATCTGAAAATCTTTTACACATCATCAAAAGTTAAACTAAAATAAAATCATTTTTAAATACTTAAAATCAGATTTGTATCATATTTGACTTCCTTAATATTTCGATACAGCTTCAGTTAAAAATCAAATCTGAAACTTACAGAAAGTGTAGGGCTATCATTGATGTTTATACACTTGAACATAGCTCACCTTTCTGTAGCAGGTTGGTATAAATATACAGAAGGTTCGCTCATTGTTACATTTATGCGACTGCAGGGAACAATTTTGGCTCGGCTCTTTGTGAAACCAGGGAAGTCCCAAGGCTTATCCCTGGTTGTCACCATTAAAGCCTGTGGCGGTGCCTTGTCTTTGTGTGTTTCATTTCAGCTTCACCTTTCTAAATTAAGAGTTGATTGTAATAACAGCTGTGAACTAAGTAACCTGATAGGTTCAGAAGAGGACATGACAAGTGAGGAAATATGCTCCCTCAAAACCTCTGCCTTGCTCTCTGAAACACAAACAACCAGTAGCCTGTCATGGTACAGAAATCTCATTCAGTGTTATTTTGATTATTTAAGCCCACAAACAATTGTTAGAGTTCAAAGCAAGCTTTTGATATACCTAAACTTTTACAAAGCAGTTTTTATGATACCAATATTTCAGATATTGTGCTTAATAACAGACTTTGTGTGATCTGAGAGCTCAGATAACCAATGTGTGATGATTAAAAAAAACCTGTTTTTTCACAAACAATAAAGTCCTCCAATAGGGATGCACAGATTCACTTTTTTTCTCTTCCCATCTGACTCTAATTCATAAATTTGGAAAGCTGCAGATCCAAATACCAAAGTTCTGTTTACTATAATGTTATTTTGTTAATTTTGTTGTTTTTTAAAGGCTGTCATTAGCTCCTATCTACAAGCAGGCATGATATGAATGAATATAAACATGTGCATCCCAAATGTCAATTTGAGATTAGTATCAGGTCAGAAAAGGAAGTCATAAAAACAGTAAATGGTGTTAAAAGGACAAACTTCATCCTTAAATCAAATAAACATCTCCAAAGATTATACCATTAAGGAGTAAACTTTCATGCTGTTGAATAGTTGTTTAACCTAACTTAAATTCATTTGTCAAATAGACTAAGTAGATCTGCCACATTTTTACTGATATATGATCTAGAATTTCCCTTCATATTGGGACTGATACAGAATTGAATATCAGATCTGCTCCGAAGCCTTCAGTCCAATGAGTTTATGATGTTATTTTTTTTTCTTTCAGAGGTGGAAGAATTGGACCACGTCCTAAGAGACAGATCTCACATCGATGAGACGCTGCGGCTTGCAACTGAGGAAAAAGCAGCAGATTATGTCGGTGAGAAACATATGGGGACAGATCATTGCATTGGCCTTTATTGTAGACATTTTATCATCTTAACTTGAACAGATAGTTTGAAAATGTTGCCTTTAGACTTTCTAATAAGCTGCAGAACGAAAACATTTTTAAATGATTTATTATCTATATGTTAATAAATGACCATGGTTGTATGTTTTTTCAAGTGATAACGAATATGTATAACCTGCAATGCAAGTATGAAAGTCTTCAGATTTCTTTCAAAAGTGAGATTTTTTCTAAAAAGGATATCTCATTACTACTTAAGGCATTTTTTTAATGTGGCACAGATGCAGTCAGATGGAAAATGGAAAAAAATTCAGTTCAATTGCAGCAACAGTGGCCTAAGATGGATAAAAAGGATATTCCTCATGCAAACCCTTTCTCTGACATTGTTATGCTACGTTCTGCTCCTTCACTTTGTTTCACAGCGGCTATACAGAAGTTGCGGAAGATCTACCATTCATCCATCAAACCAATGGAGCAGGCCTACAAGTACAACGAGCTGAGGCAGCATGAGATTTCAGGTATCGCTAAAAAATGCCATATTTCTAAAACCTCTTTCAAATTATACATCCCAGTGAAAATTGGCTAATTTTGATTTTTATTCTGCATTTGCAGTGCCTTGTGAATGTAAACAGATCTTTAACTTTTCCACTTTTTGTTGACTTTTTATCCCAAAACTTCAGGGTATTCTGTTACGATTTCAACATTTTTATCTGCTTTTTTTTTTTTTTTTTTAGATATAAAAGTCAGAAAAGTGCGGAATGAACAAATAGCAAATCTAAAATACATGTTCAATGAAAACTAGTGTCAAATGAAAGCGCTTGCAGACTAGTCTAAGTCCAAACCAAAATGCAAATGTTAATCTGGAGATATTTTAAAATATGAACGGTTCAAAATATTTAGTCTCTAGATGTGGAAAACCCAGAAATACACTCTGAAAAAGACTTGCAGCTTTAATTGTAAATAAAAAAATAGTTTCAAATGTGTTTTGACCCCTTTAATATGATGATGAGTTTGTTAACTTGCAACTTTTTCCTGTGGTTCAGTTTCTTTTCACACAGAAACCGGTCTCCATGAATCAACCTGGAGCAATCAGTCCGTTTATTGGTCAGATGTGTCTCGAGTACCAAACATAAATACAGGAAGCTTGTAGAGAATGTTAAATATGAATGATATCATTATAGCGTTTCTGGGTAGTATTCAAACAAAATCATAAGTAATCTATGTGATTTTTAAAGGATGTCCTGAAACTTGAATATGACTTAATGCTTTACAGAAAAGATGAGCACATTTCTTTGATTATAAGTTTGTTTTCTTGGCTGCCTCCCACAATGCAATGCAAATCCCGCACCAGACTTAGACTTTAGCAGGCACATCCACACAGACAAAGAGGGCAAAAGAAAATAGCCCAAAAAGTATTGAAAAAGGAAAAGAAATGCAAACCACTCTTTTATTGATTTTGTTTTTAAAGAAAAAAAGACCGTTTACTTCGAGGAAATATTTCTGCCCTTCTTTGAGTTGGTCTGAGACTGCTTAAAAAAAAACCTTTTAGAATGAAATAAATTTCTTCCTCTTGTGGATTAAAAAGGCTCTGTTTGCATGCAGACATTTAGTTTCTATCTACGTCTCTAACTAATAATGTACTTTTCGTGAGACACTGTAAACTCTCATCATTGCCTGACCACATGAGCACATTATGCATTTGTTGACAGACATGTTTGACGACTTGTAGGTCAAATATGCTACTGTAAATTCCAGCCATGATCTCAGACTCATTCATGTACATCGACACTCCACCCTTCCCCACTGCTTGTAGAAACATTACTCCCTCACTGAGCTCGCCTTCACCTCCTCTTACCTTCACTTCTCTGTCCTCCCCTCACCCCCATCTCCCCTCATCTAACAGCATACCCTGGACGAACCCTGGGTGACTCGGCCACAGGTGGGTGTGGGCAGGGCTTACCTGTGCATGGCACTGCCTCAAGAGCTAAGCCCCTTCCTCTCACCCTTTGCAAATTTGTTCTCTGTTGATCTACGGCATTCTTAAAAGTATTTGGCCCTAACAATCTTAAAGAGTAAAATTTAAACTTAAATGTTACAGATCAGATATAGATATCAGACAAATATAACTAAATAAATACAGTGTAATTCAATGCTGATGTTATTGACAAATTTAATAAATTCCTGTGAGTTAGCTTGATGTGGAAATTATAATTTACGATCTCATTAAATCACAAATGAACTGTTAATAGCCAAAACAACATCTGAAGAATCTACAAGCCTCACTTCCTTTATTTAAGGTCAGTGTTTGCGATTCGCCTAAAAATATAAAACAGTTAGAAAATACCGGTACCATCTATAGAGAAGGTTCAATTTGAAAAACACTGCTGTCTAAAGAAAACACATCAAACTGATACTCAGATTTGTTATGGTTTGGGTTTACTTTGCATCTAAAAGACATGGAGAACTTGTTCCCAACCAATGGGTCATTAATTCTGCTCTCTAGTAAAAAGTCTTAAAGGACAATATCTGACCACTTTTGGTTTATTAAGCCAGACAATCATACAAAGCACACCAACAAGTTCACACCTATATATGAGTTTCAAAAGCACCAAAATAAAGGATTTGGTGTGGATCCATAAAAGCATGTGTCCAAAACTATTTGAAGTGATGTTGCATGTGTCATGACTCAGAAGAGAGGAGCCAGTATTCGAGCCAAGGCAGACAGTGGGATAATTCAAAAAGCGTTTCTTGAAACGACTGATGATCTGAATAGCAGCGGCTAGGGAGTCTATCACAAGAAACTCTGTAAAAGGAAACACAGGTTAGTGACCGTGTAAAGCAACCCCGGAGAGTGGAGAACCAGCAGGAGTTCGAAGCCAGGTCAGGCAAACAGATCAGAACAAGAACAGGGAGGCTCAGAGGTCCAGGAGTCAAAAGACAGTTCAGGCAAACCGTTCAGATGGGAACAGGCAGGCTCAGTGGTTGAGAATCAGAACAGGATCAGGTAATCAGAAACACTAAGGTGATGCTAAAACCCTGTCACCACTGAGATCAGATGGGAACAGGCAGGCTCAATGGTTGGGAGGCAGAACATGTCAGGATCAGAAACACCAAGGAACTCTAAAAACACTTTCACCACTGGCTAGAGGGAACATAACAATCTGGCTCCGATAACCGGATGCAAGCACCCCAAACAGAGGCAGGAGCAGGTGGATCAGACAGTTGAACGGAATGAACAACCAAGCCAGTCATCAGCGTCAAGATCATGACAGCATGACTTTAAAGAGACAATACATAGTAAAAGAAACCTACAGTGTGGCTGAATTTAAGACTGTAAGGCCAGAAATACTCATTATTTCAAAAGTTAAATAGGAGATGTTCCTACCAATGGAGGAACAAACTATTTTTGACTAGAGGGAATTGCTTTTTGACACAGTGTCATCATAATAAAACTGTTTCTTCAGGATATCTTTCCCTGATACTAACATATATCTCAATGATCTGAAACATTTCAGTTTGACAAGAAAGCCAGGGACAATACTTTTTCATGGCACTGTAAATATTTCTTTATCCTCAGCTTTGTATGAAACTCCATCAAGGGAAATATCTACTGCAGTGGGTTATCATTAAAGTGCGCCATCACTGGAAAGCTTCGGAAGGATGCAGTTTTAAAAATATTATGCAAATCAAGATGGGGGTGACCCTTAGGATATTATAAATATTAATCACATATTTTGGGATTGTGTGAAAATCACACAGGCTTTGCATGTACATTTCTGGCTTTAGCTGGGGTGGTCAATGTTTAGAAAGCATTGGTATAATTTTCTCCAAATTTAGCTTGTGAAAATAAAATCCCTCCATTACTCTGTTAAAATGCTTTTATTTAGATCTTTTAATAGAAAGTTAAAATTATTCATCCTCATCACAGGCGATGTTACCTCACCTCCCATACATGATTTTCACTCCACAAATGACAGCTTGCAGTCTGTTGGTGTCTCTGTGTGAAATATGGCTGACATCTCTTTCTACTAACAAATGACCTTTTTCTGTCCTTGTCTGAACCTTAAAATGCAGCCTATACGTCCATGAGTAACTCTTCAGTGTTTTTGCAATAATATTGAAAAAATATCTTTAAAAATTTGCATGCAGTGTGGAACTTCAAAATAAGGAATAAGGAAATGTAATGCATCTCACAATGCCTTGCAAAGTACTTATATGCCTTTAGCTTCTGCAGATTTTTAATGTTACATCTGGTAACTTCAGTTATTAATTTATTTTTTTATTTATTTTGTAAAAGACCAACACAAAGGAGTATATACTTGTGAAGTGGAAGAAAGATGATAAAAAATAAAAGTGTGATCTGTCTTTATATATTAGCTGCCTTTACTTTGATAACCCTAAATGTAAACCAGTGTGGGCAGTTGTCATTATAAGTTACAGATTAAGGAAATAAACAAGAATTTGCTCTTGTCAGATGTGGCAATATTTAAAATTTGGATCAACTTGTCATATATTATTTTCTAAAACTCACAATACACAGCACACTGGAAACTGTAGTAGGGTTTATTGGCAACAACATGCTGTGGAGAATGAGTGTCTTTAACAGAAACAAATAAGCTTGCCAGTGTTGATTTATTAAAATAATTAATGAGGAAACTGGTAGAAAACTGAAGACTAAGATTAGGGTTTGTGTTCCAGCTGGACAATGACTCTACATTTATATCCAGATGTTCAATGGAACGGCTCAAATTAAGCATGCTCATGTGTGGGATTAGCCTAGACTAAATACTTATGCTTTTTGTAAAAGGATTTGTAAGCGCATCTAAAAAAGACTGAAAGTCGTAAATGGATCAAATGACGCTCCTGCAAAAAGTAAAACCCCAAAACAGCGCATGACATCCCTTCCACATCACAATTATTCACTATTTTGTGCTGATCTACAAAAAATCCCAACAGCATATACTGTGATTGTGATTATAGTTGTGATTGTGGGGAGCTGAACTTCAGACGTGTTTAAACGCTTCGAATACTTTTGCAAGGCACTGTGAATTGTAGTTCTAATTTGTAGATGCTGTAAAAACCAACTGATGCTGTGTAGAAATAAAATAGGGGGTAATATTCATTGCTGCCAGTTCAAAATGAAATCCCACTAAATTAAACTTCAGGATCTTGAGATGTTTTTATCTCAATTTATACAATTACATTATATTTGTTCAATCTGACTAGTTTGGTTTAATTTTGAGAAATGGTTTGTTGTTTTGTCTGCTACCAAAATATCAAACCATTCATTGTTTAATCTTTTGTTCTATATTACAAAATCATTAGATTCTGCTTTCGAAAATCTTTTTTACACAGCATCACACCTTTTTAGACTTTTATGTACATTACATTTTTCATTTGGAAAACATCTCTAGTGAGTTTTTTGGCTGATTCATTATTAAGCATGGGGGCTCTTGTTGTAGATTGGAAATAGCTGACATGTAAAATAAACAGAAGTTTCTGCCTCACTGTTTAAGCAACCTCCCTGAAATTTGTATTTCTTACCGAATAGATGGAGAGATTACCTCCAAGCCCATGGTGCTGTTCCTTGGACCTTGGAGTGTAGGGAAGTCCTCCATGATCAATTACCTCCTGGGCTTGCAAGACAGCCCGTATCAGCTCTACACAGGTATGAATTAAGAATACAAAAACTTAATAAGTCAATATAGGAGGGAAAACAATTATAAACATCTTAAATCTGCAGGAACAATAGAAATATCATATTTTCTCTCTTACAATTTAATGTTTAATTACATGCTTAATGCCTTTGGTACATACATTTGTAATTTTCTTTACCTATTTATGTGTTTTCATTGGTATTTTTTGCAGTTTCTGCTCCATGTCTGCTAATTTCTTCTGTTTATTCATAATTTTGCTCTTCAGGAGCTGAGCCCACTACCTCTGAGTTTACTGTTATAATGCACGGCGAGAAAATACGCTCTGTAGAGGGTATCGTCATGGCAGCAGACAGCTCTCGCTCCTTCTCTCCCCTTGAAAAGTTTGGCCAAAACTTCCTGGAAAAGTTAATAGGTATCGAGATGCCTCACAAGCTGCTGGAACGTGTGACTTTTGTGGACACGCCTGGAATCATTGAGAACCGAAAGCAGCAGGAACGAGGTAAATGAGCAGACTTTTTCTGTGCATAAAACCAATACAGACTGTGCCTTTTAAGATAATACCATGGCTACCTTTTTAACGTTTCAATATTTTGCCCCAATATAAAACACATTTCATTGTACTTTATTGGGATTCTAGGAGTGACACAAAATTGTATAAAACTGTGAAGAGAGAGTAGGAATATCTTTTTGAAATTTGATATATATACATTTAAAAAGGTATTTAATAAATAAAAAAAAAATAAAAAAAAATGCACAGTAGCTTGCATTTTATTTAACTGCCGGGTTGTGCTGAAGTTTAAAAAAGTCTTAGTTTATAAAACTTTATTCCAAACTGAACATTTCATAGAGCCATGTTTAATCCATCATCTTGGCAATGAAATAGCATAGAACAACTGTGCAACACATGGCTGTTTACCTTAAAACCACAGGAAAGGAGAGTATTATGTGGAGAAGCAGCTAAAATGGGCATGTACACTTTAAAGCTGCAGAAATCCCCAGGTACAGTACAATGTCTGCAAAAAAAAATAAATAAACTGAAACATTTGATCTTTTACAAAAACCTACAGGAACAGATTATATTTAACTTTAAGAACTACAGTACAGTGCAATCCAGGAGCTATTAATAGGCTTCTTCTACACTGAGACACACATTTTATATATTTTTTGATGGCATGCAAGGAACCGCTCTGACCAGAATATGTGCTAGAAGCAAGAGCTTCCTTCCTAAGCCATTGCTGCAGGAACAGAATGGGGGAATTTCATTCCTGCAGCTCTGTTCTTACAGGTTATCTACACACCTTCATACGACATATCACCCTGAACAGATCGACCCTATATTGAAACATGTGAGTGGCAACATCATGCTGAGGGGATTTTTCCTTTGGCAGAGTCAAAGTTGATAGGAACCTAGGGTAAAATTAAAGCATCAAAGCATTAATGTCATGATCTCAGCCCCGGTAGCTTCTCTTACTCACTGATTACTCACTTCATTCACCTGCTGTCTTTCCCTGGCTATTACATGTCTTCCCTGATGTCTCCATGGTTCTGGTTTGTCTTGCCTTTTTAAGTTGGATTTTTAGTAGGAACCAGCCACTGTCAGGGTTTGGTTGAGGTTTTGAAGACCTAAATGTAGAGGCAAGGAAGCAGAGGTGAGTTTTTGGAGTTTTAATGGAGTGATCACAGGTAGGCAGGAATCCAAAAATCCAACTTGAAAATGCAAAAAAAAAAAAAAAACAGAACCATGGAGTCATTAGGGAAGACATGCACTAGGAGCCAGGGAACGATGAGGAAAGACAGCAGGTGAATGAAGTGGGTAATCAGAGAAACTACCGGGGCTGAGATTATGATAATTCAAGCATTTTTCATTGTTTTTAAAATGACCCAGTCAAAGTCCAGAGCAAAATCTAATTGAGAACTTGTGGCATTCTAACACTACGTATCAACACAGCACTGATCAAGAAACATGGCATCATTTGGTGGGGATTTTCTTGTCATCAGAGAAACATTAGTTGGAGTTAAGTTAAAGAGCTAAAGATAGGAAAATGCTGGAATAAATAGTTTTAAAGTTTGAACAATGGTAAACATTGGTTTAGGTTTAAAGAGTTTTTGTAACACGTTTTTTTTTTCTTCCTAGGTTATCCTTTCAATGATGTTTGCCAGTGGTTCATTGACCGTGCTGATCTCATCTTTGTTGTGTTTGATCCAACCAAGCTGGATGTTGGTCTTGAGCTGGAGATGTTGTTTCGACAGTTGAAAGGCAGAGAGTCCCAGATCCGCATAATCCTAAACAAGGCAGACAACCTGGCCACGCAGGACTTAATGAGAGTCTATGGAGCACTCTTTTGGAGTTTGGCTCCCCTCATTAACGTGACTGAACCGCCTCGTGTCTATGTCAGCTCATTCTGGCCATATGATTACGCCCCAGACACTAGCCGGGAGCTCTTCAAGAGAGAAGAAATCTCCCTGCTGGAAGATCTCAACCAGGTGATTGAGAACCGCATGGAGAACAAGATCGCCTTCATCCGCCAACACGCCATCCGCGTTCGCATCCACGCCCTGCTAGTGGACCGTTACGTTCAGACCTTCAAAGAGAAGATGAGCTTCTTCAGTGATCCCGAACTGGTCTTCCAGGAGATTGTGGACGACCCTGACAAGTTTTACATCTTCAAATCCATTCTAGCCAAGACCAACGTCAGCAAGTTTGACCTACCCAACCGAGACGCTTATCGTGACTTCTTTGGCATCAACCCAATCGCAAGCTTTAAGCCTCTGGCATCTCAGTGTTCCTACATCGGAGGCTGCCTGTTGGAAAAGATCGAGAAGGCAATCACCAACGAGCTGCCTGGTCTCCTAAGCAGCATTAACTCTGGCAAGCAGCCTGGCCTCTCATCTTGTGAGATCACTGGCTGTGGCGAGAAGCCAAAAAACCGCTACCGAAAGAACTGAGGAACATAAAATAACTTGTCAGGGGGAAGAAAGGAGACATAGGAGGTGAAGAGAAAGAGGGGTCCTGGTGGGAGCCAGAGCCCTGCTTTTAACAGGACATTTGCATTGTTAAGGTGACATAGGGAAGATTAATGTTTGGGGTTTTTTGTCCTCAGGAGAATAAGCAAATGTGATAGTGAGAGAAGAAGAGGGAAGCCATCGTTGGATAAGGCAGCTTAAGGACATAAATAATAGAGGAACGGGAACCCGCCACTGATTTCAAAGTTCATAAAACATACACCTTTCTCTTTCTTATGGCACTGTCACCCTGGACTGCCTCACAAGGAATTGTCAGAGAAATTACAGATGCTGAAAATAGGCAAATACCAGACCCATTTAAAACAGATGTTGAAAACAGATGTTTGTATACTAATATTAAAAGGATTATATTATCCCAGGTACATTTCAAACACATCAGTTGAATTCGAAGTAGCCTTTTTGTTGGTGCTATACAAAAGCATTGGTGTCTGTCTGACCATGCAGACCTTTGCTATAGATGTTAATTATCTTTGCATGTTAGGATTTCAATGTTTATCTACAAATGCATGTTTTTCTTCTGCCATAAAGAAAAAAAAAACCCTCATGCAGCAATTTTGAGACCAGTACCAAATCTAACCGGCATCAAACAAGGGATTTCATCTCTTAGCTTTGGACACTCATCGCTTCTGGTTTTTTGACAATGAAGTAAACAAAGGTCAGGGTTCATGAGTCTTTGGAGCGCAGGTGGTACGTTTATTCTGCTACACATCTTAACTGTTGTAATGTCTATTTTTTGAGTCTATAAACTACCAGGGTTTGGCAGAAAGCAAGAAGTTATTTTTATTTTATTTTTTGACATTTACTCTGCCGTTTCTCTGCCTGCTTTTGAGATATGTTGAATGTTTTTTGTACATCTGCCCGTCGGTTGGCATCTGCCTTTCTCAGATCGGTAAATGTGGGTTACAGGTTAAATTACTTATACCCATATTTTCCAACAAATTCTGGGGGATCCAAGGTGATCTCAATCCAGTAAGGATGTATAGTCCTTCCATCGAGTACTATTGTCCCCAGGGTCTCCTCCCAGTGGGATATTCTCAAACAGATGGTTGATTCATCATTATCTCATGACCAAAGGTAGAGGGATAGCAGGTGGTAATACAAAGCTTCTTGTCAGAGTGATTTCTTCCCTACAATTGACTAGAATAGCAAACGCATTACTGGAGACAAAGCTCATGTAAGTCTACCCATGTCTTACTCCATTGGAACACCAAAGGGAGAATTAAACCTTTTTCCTGTTTACTTAGAGTTTGCAACTCTGATCTTCACTGTTTTACTCTTTTCTCCTTACTTTGCTAATTTATTCTAAAGATGTCGACAGTCTACTGTCAACAAATAGAATAGTTTAAAATTGGCAGCCTTGGTGATTATTAACATGCACTTGAAAGGAAAAACAGCCCTTAAAACATCCCTAACAAAATTAATGCATACAATCATAAACCTGCTTCAGACTCAACATGACACACAGACTGGACATCTAAGCTACCATAACTCCTTCAGCAGCGAGATCCGTTCCATTGCTGCACGGTTTTCTGTTATACTCTGGAAATTGCTCCATTTGTAAGTCGACCTAAAAAAAATTCAATTTGAAGCAATATTGTATGTTTTGATGACAGATCTCTGCAATGGCTGATAGGATTACATGTCCCAAGCATGCAAATGTAAAACTGAGGACTCATGAGTTGATCCCTGACCTTCATGGAAACAAGGTAAATTCTTTTCCCAGAGTGAGAAGAAGGAAATAGACACAAAGCTAAAAACTGTCAACATTAAACAGTTATCACAAGAGTGGAGTAAAATATTGTATAAAGGTGCATAACAGCAACCAGCTGGACTCAAGCATCTTCCACTTTTTTATATTACATATAATATTAGGAATAGTTTCACTTCCAGCTTCAGATCCACCCTAGCATTTATGCAAAGCTATGCAAAAACAGGCCTGCTGCTTCATATTCACAACACAGCTGGATAGTAGGTTATTGAAATTTGTTTTTTCTCAGCATGAGAAAAAAATCCAACACCCTTATAAAGTTCAGACATTCTTTGAGACATGATGAGGAGAAGTGCAACGATTCAACTGGTGAGCGCTCCACTGCGGTTTTGGAATATGGCCACTAGAGGGGGCTGTTCAAAAGAGAAACTATGTTGTCAGATGCGCGTGGTTTATGACATAAACTGGTTGTGCTTCTGATATATTTCATTGTCAGTTTTACTCACCTTCTAGATGATGAATGGATGTGTTCTGTCCAACTAGTCCCTTAATCACCTTAAGGTGTGACACTGACATTACCACTGGCCCAAGTTGTGGATGCTTGACAGAAAAGAATAAAGATTTCTGATTGACTGGTTCAGAGAAACCTTGTGGTTATTCTGCTTTAAGGAGGTTTTTAATAACTTTTTGGTTCTTTGTTCAGTCTAAATATCTGCCCGTGTTACATTCTAACTCTTTACTGATCAGTTTTTAGGGTAAAAGTCTTTTCAACGATAGCAATAAATTGCAATCAACTTATAACTAAAAATAAAAAATAAAAAATTCAAGTCTAACTGCAATTTTACTTTGTGATACAAAAAAAATAGTCAAATTCTGCAAAAATTCTACAAAAAACGCTGCAAAGGAACATGAAAAGCTCTGCGTCTTTTCATATTGGATTATCCTCTATCAAAGAAAAGCTTGCTTTAGAATAGGAGGTAAAGTACATTTTACTTCTTTCTTTTATGAAAATGAATCTATTGTGACTCATTTGAGAGCCAAATTAGTTTTGAGACCACAAAGGCAGACACTGTGCTGCTTTACAAAAAAATATTGATTTAAAGTGTTTGACTTCAACAAGTCTTACATACAAATACAGCAGAATCAAATATGGCTGAATCACCACATGGAACCAAATCTTACAGAGTCTCTTATTTGATTGAGGAGACTTGAAGAGAATATGCACCTAAGCACTTCAGTGCAATAGTTTATGAGACCTTGTTTCTTGGACTTTATTTTAAAACAAATAACAAATAATTTCAGGAAGAACTCTAAACTTTTCATAAAATGTGGGACCAGGGATAAAGATCACAGGCTTCAAGCATAAATCAGACAGATGCAGGTCTGAACCAAAAGCTTCCCTTTCACACCTCAAGTGTTTCATCTTCCATTTCTGTCATGTCGCCGGGTTCTGATGGTGTCAGAGTCCTGAAGGCCTGCAGCTCTGTGGGATTTTACAACACCTCTTCATCCTTAGCCTGTTCTAGGAGACGGTTACAGTGATGTGGAAGACTTCTTGCCTTATTTCAGTAACAAAATAAAACTTAGTAAGGAGTCATCAGTGACTAGAGACCTGCTGCCCTTACATCTCACATCATCAAGGTCCTAAAGAGACTTCTGATGGTTCACCTCAGCAAATACTCAAACTAGCAGGACCTCCTCCTGCAATTTGCTCATCGCAATAGAGCTGGAGTTGAAGATACCATTGAACACCTGCCTCAACTGTCATTTAGGACAGAAAGACAGCAGTAAATTTTTTTTATATGCAATTCTTTTATTTTTTTTTTATTTCTCTAGTGTATTTAACAAGGTTCAATGACTTACTTTGAAAGAAATTGTAGAAGACTCAGATGGCGGCATCAACATTCACCTGGATTAGAGGCTACCTAAAAACCAGACCACAGTTTGTTAGACTGAAGGGTCAGCTGCCTAATCAAGTAGGTGTTAACATACCGTAGGTGCACCACAGGGAACTGTACTCTCACTATTCCTTTTCACTCTGTACACCACTGACTTCCAATACCAGGGGAGTAGTGGGTAGAGCATTGCTCTTGGGTCTCAGGGGTTCTGAGTTTAAGACCTACACACTCCGACGGGCTGTACTCGGGGTCCCTGAGCAAGACCCTTAACCCCCCCTGCTCCTCAAGGGGATGGGTTAAATGCAGAAAGTGAATTTCTCCATTGTGGGACAATTAAACATTTACAATTATTTACAACAGACAGAGTCCTGTCATAGACAAGAAGCCTGTAACAATATCAGGGCAAACAATTTAAACAAAATAAAAAAAACTGGTTTTGTTTAAAGAACATTTTAGACACCCCTGATCATCTATAGTAAAAGACTTTTGCAGATCCACTGCAGATGGATAGATGGATGGATAGATCTGCAGCCCTTTTTGTTCAAGAATGTCTCAATAAGATTTATGATTTTATATATATTTTATATATATTTTATATAGAAAAACATTCAAACCATAAAGAAGAAATAGACAAGAGTTGAAGTTGCCTATATGGCACCTTGCTGAAGTATAAAGAGGTTCAGAAAAGCACTGCGATCGATTGAGTTTATCGCTGATGAAGAAAACTTGCTTTGGGTAAATTCTCTGAGGTGTAAATATACACTAGGATTCAGCAAAATGCTGCAAAGCAGAGTGTAAAGAGACATACACTGAAGATGATCGATGAACTAAGATCCAGGGAACACCACTTCAAAGCAAGAGGAGATGAACGATAATCTAAGTGTAATAGAGCTTGATTACATTTGAGGAGCACAAAAACACAGAAACTGCTGTTACAGGGCTATAAGGAAGCATTGTGTCAGAATACATCAAAGGAGAAACTCCAAATTTATCCTTTTTATCCTTCATTTTTTGGACTTTTTCCCTTTTGGTTTAGTTTAAATCTAGTGAACATTTGTTGTGCGTTCTAACAATAGCAAGCTCTTTCACAGCTATATCTTTGCCCAAATCACAGTGCTGGTATTAACACTCAGACCGAAGCGTGCAACACTTATTTTTCTCATAAGGGACACATTTCTGTTCATTTTAAACTAAATCAGTGCCTGCAATCCTAGTCAATAAAGTAGAATTTGAATGCATAAAATTAGTTTTCTTTGTGTTCTCTATCAAATTAAACAAATTTTCCTTTGCCAACATGAATCTGCAGGTGCCTCCATCTTTATTAGGGGGAAGGGGGGTGTTGGGGTGTGTGTGTGTGTGTGTGAGGGGGTTCTTTGTCATTGCAATCATCAAGATGCTTGTTTTCCCTCAGGTACATCCATTTCTACCCTCCCTCTCAACACTCAGGTCCCCTCTTTTCTATCAGACAAGCAGGACCATCAAGCTTCTGATGATCAACCAGACCGGAAGTCAGACCTTTTTTCACAATAAACTTGTAAAGTTTGCATCATGGAGGCTTTGCAGAGTTATTAAATCACTTTCTTTGTTTGTTTAGCTTTAGATAGGGAACCGTGGCTTATAAAGTCACAGCAAGAACACCTCTAAATTATTTTCAGCGCTTGACAAATTGTTTGAAAGAGAATAAAAATAAAGGTAAATAATAATAATAATAATAAAGAAATAAAATTTTTAATAACAAATACAATAGAAGGACAGTCTTTTTTGGTTGAAAAGAATGACTCAACTCGTTTTGCAGAGCTAAAAATACACGTTATGGACATAGAAGGAGGTAGTTTGAAAATAGTGCTGCTCTCAGTTTTAACTTACAGAAGCCAGGTCAACCTCACCCCACAAGTTGTTACTTAAATCAGCAGCTGTGTCAATCCAAACAACAACAGCAGCAATGCAACACAACTGGGAAGTGAAGCAGCCTTTGACCAGTCACAGAGCATTAAAATAATATAACTTACATTTAGGTTCACTCCCTGTTCTCTGATTCCTCCAAATGAAACCAATTCAAACAGCCTACACTTATGAGTTTATTCATCTCAAATATAAATCCACTTTTAATTTTTTACAGTCTTTATGAACAAACCTCATAAAGCAATGACAATAAGCAATTATATATTCGTTTGTTTAGTGAAATCTGGATAGTTTTTCTGCAATTTTGTAAAAAAAAAAAAAAGAAAAAAAGAAAAGAAAAAGAAAAAAAAGGGAAATCAGCTCATCATATTGAGAAAACACACCAAATACATAACTGCACCAAATGGTGAAAGTATACAGCAGATTTAATAGTCTAAAGGCTGAAAAAGTGCTGCTTATAAGCCTAATCCTTTGTGAAATGAAATCATCCAAACAGAAAAAAGTGTGCAATGGCCTGCATGTGTTGCACTTTTATTGTTGCAATAAAAAGCGGAAGTGTTTTTAGTTTAATCTGCAGGTAAATTCCCCCCCTGCTCACTCCATTGCTCCGCGGCTGTCAGCGCGCTGAAGATGGTGGCGGCTGCTGCTGCCTCTGTGATTTGCGCAGCGCGCAGCTGCTCCACCGTGTCAAACATGAGCAGATAGTGAAGATATTCCCGTCGCAATGTGGACTCTACCGAGAAATTCAAGAGGAGGTCCTGATATCATCATAGTTTTGGGGTTAAAGTGGAATCATTTAAGCTGTATGGACACACCATCTCCTGTCTGATCCAATTAAAGTGGTCGGATCGAGGCGCGGCTCTGCTTTTTAACCTGTGGGGACCTTTTTAATTAACCTACTCGGGTCTCTGCGGGCTTTTGGAAGCGTGACCCAGCCTTTACAGGCAAACTTCACACAAAAGGAAATAGTCTTGCACTGCGCTCAAGGCTACAGTTTCTTTCCCCCTCGCAGCTGCCTTGTGGACTCCCGGATAATTGGAGTTTATTAGAAGATTGAATTGTGGACTGTTGACATGTGTTGGGATTATGCCAAAGCAGTAAAGGTGTTCAGTGGATATTCTTAAGCAGGAGTCACCCACAGTGATTCTTATTTGCAATAAAATACAATTTTGCGCGTTTTCTTTTTTTTTCCAAACGCGCAGAAACCTCCCCATTGACTTTGGATACGGAGCAGAGGTGCAGACACCGGAGTGGGAAGTCAGGAAAACACGGGGCTCGGTGTGTGAGATCATTTGGGATCAGGCCCAGCAGAAAACAGCATGTGCCATGTATCTGAGAGGTGCGCTTTTTCTGCGCTCCGGTCGCCGTGTGGAGGAAACGCACTCCCTTTATTTGATAACAAGTAATAACACATTGCATGCTCTGCCGCTGAGTTATTTTGCATGAAGTTTTGCCCAGTCCTGTAAACAAAACATGCTCCTGTGTAGGAAGTATTACTTTATATAGACAGCTTGAGGAAGTGTTAGAGTGGGCATTAAAAGGAGCTGTGTTTCAGACATTAAAATTTTATAGCTTTTCTAAACCATTTTCCCCTTCCTAGCCTTTGCTTTTGGGATAGATTTACCGCTTTGTGTAATATTTTCCAATGACTGGAGCAAGCTGTGGGCTGCTTGGACTGGAAAAGACCTGGCAGCCAGCAAACCTTGCAGTCTCAAGTGCGTCTAAACAGAGGGGAATGTAGTGGAATGCAGGGATTGACGTCAAGAAGAGCAATAATGAACTACTCAAAAACTTTGGAATATCTCCTGGTTTTGCAACAACCAACGCACTGAAATCATCTTCTACTGTGTCCACATGCTTTGCCTTAGCTTCCCATCTATAGATTGATCTTGATTATATCTGTGCCTTCTAATAGTTGTTCATTTTTGAATTGAGCAATAGAAAACATGGCATCTCCCCAGCATCAGAAACTGCTGCCACACAACACAGAAGTGAGCTGTGACTCTAGCGGAGATGGAGGCGTCTCGGTGAGGATTGGCAGCGGTGTGAAACACAGGCATGGAGGAGGGCCGCTGGGTTCCATTGGAGGAGGCTTCATTGGGGCCACCAAGCACTGCAAGTACAGCATTTCATCTAGTTGCAGCTCAGGGGAGTCTGGGATGAGGAGGCCCGTGGTGAGGAGTTTCCGCGCTCACAAACGCATGCCCCAGCTGTTTGAGAGGTCAGCAGGTCATTTCTGGGACCCCAAGTTTGATTCCTCCATCCTGGAGGAAGCGTGTCGAGAGCGATGTTTCCCTCAGACCCGGCGGCGCTTCCGTTATGTTCTTTTTTATCTGGTGGCTGCCAGTTTCCTCTGGGGGTTATATTTTGCTGCCCATCCTTCCTGCTGTGACTTAGTCGTTTTTCTCCTCCCTACTGCTTCCTTCCTCGTTTTCTGCCTTCTCCTCTTCCTTCTGACGTTTACCAAGCTTTACTCCCGCTGCTACAACCAGGCATCTCTGCTGCTTATCTTTGTGACCTTCATATTGACCCTGGCCCCTCAGATCCAGACATTAGGATTCAAGGACCAACAGGCCAGGTCACCTGAATTTAACATGGAGGAAATCAGTGTTATGGGGCCAACATACAACACATCTAACAAGCTAGATGAGGGTTCTAAAAAGTTTCCCTGCCTCTCTCCTGTAGGCACTTTCTCCCTCTGTATTGAAGTTCTTCTGTTGCTATACAGTGTCCTCCATGTTCGTCTTTATGCATCTCTCATGCTTGGGGTGCTGTACTCTATCTTGTTTGAGACCTTGGGCTGTTTGCTCCCTATTCAGGCAGAAGGCAACTGGAGTTGGGCTTTCTCCTCCGAGTTAGAGATGTTCAGTTGGTTGGGTCCGGCCAAAGCCCTCCTTCATCTCTGCGCTCACGCCATTGGCATCCACCTATTCGTCATGTCTGAAGTGCGCTCACGAAGCACCTTTCTTAAAGTTGGACAAGCTATAATGCATGGAAAAGATCTGGAAGTAGAAAAAGCCCTGAAAGAGAGGATGATCCACTCGGTTATGCCAAGAATCGTGGCAGATGAGCTAATGAAGCAAGGCGACGAAGAAATTGGTGATCATTGTGGTAAACGCTACTCCACTAGTGGTGCAGCTGCAGTCATTTCCAGCCCAAAAAACAACAAACGTAAGAAAACCTCAATTCCCAGAGGCCAGATCATTTTCAGACCCTTCAACATGAAACGAATGGAGCCTGTCAGCATCCTCTTTGCAGATATTGTGGGCTTTACCAAAATGTCTGCCAACAAATCTGCTCATGCTCTTGTTGGGCTTCTAAATGACTTATTTGGACGTTTTGACAGACTTTGTGAGCTCACTGGCTGTGAAAAGATTAGCACTCTGGGGGATTGTTACTATTGTGTGGCTGGCTGTCCAGAACCTAGACCGGATCATGCCTATTGCTGCGTGGAGATGGGTCTAGGCATGATTCAGGCTATTGAACAGTTCTGCCAGGAGAAGAGAGAGATGGTGAACATGAGGGTGGGTGTCCACACCGGCACCATACTATGTGGCATCTTGGGGATGAAACGTTTCAAGTTTGACGTTTGGTCCAACGATGTCAATCTGGCCAATCTGATGGAGCAGTTGGGTGTAGCTGGGAAAGTCCACCTTTCACAAGCTACTTTTGACTTCCTGGATGACCGATACCAGCATGAGGACGGACAGGTCAACGAGAGGATCGGGCAGAGTGTGGTGGCCGATCAACTCAAAGGTCAGTTGTTATTCTCACCTATATTTATTTTTTTTACTGACTTTTTTTTTTTCGAACATTAACTTTCAAGCACATAATTTGCTTTTGCTAATTGCTTTAATATTTTTTCCTAATGCTACAGAAATATTGAAATTCAAATAGTTATTGAGGGAAATAAGTGTTTTTCAATGAAACCAAGATTAAGCATCACGTTTTGTAGTTTTTACTGATCTCCTAGTGGTTTGAGTTTATCTGCCCTTTCTGTGGTGTTTAGACTATTTCTGTATCTCATTCAGACGCCATCTTTTCCCCAACCCCCCCTCCTCAGCTCATTCTTTGTTCTCTAGCTCAATTACGTTCCCCCTCAGACGTCCTCAGTGTCCCATTCTTTTAACCTCTCCCTGACCCTGAAGGATTGCTTTGAAACTACTCCTCTGCCAACAGAGGTTTTCTTGCAGTCTCATCTTTACCCATCTACCTTTGTCTTCCTTCTATATTCAAGCTGCTTGACTGCAGGGCTTTTATTTTATACCTCTATGCAAATCACCTTAGAGTTCCTAAATGGGGGGGCTTAATGGGTCTTTTCATCCTTTTAAGCTTGCTGATCCATTATCACTAATCGCGGGGGAAGTGACAACGTCTGACGAAAGGTGTGTCAGATGATCTTCATTTTCCCATCTTCATTGCCGGCTGTGATCATTTTTGTTTCACATTTTTGCCTGCATTTTCTGTTGAAATTAAAACTAACATGCAATTCACACACCTTAGCAATGCGTGCTCATTATTCATTTGGGTTCTGTGAATTATCAATTAGTCTGTATAATATCCACTTGACTCTGCAGATGGAATATATATTTTCTCTTAAAATCACTACAGTTCCCAGGGAAGGAGCATGACTGGGTGAATTTTATGTTGTTTACTAGAGAGCAGCGGTGATTTATGAACGTGTTTCCTCCCCAACGTTTAGATTAGTCACTTCCACCCTTGGTCTAGCTCCTTTATTCCTTTCAAGGATTAATGTGTTACCTGTGGTGTACCCACCCCTCCTCCTCGCGTGTCTCCTCCTTTATTCCTGACTTCTCCTTGTGCCTTCATCATTTATTTAGCTTTCCTCTGAGGATTTATTCACTCCCTGTAGGTCTTCTGTGGGTCTTCTGTGCCAGGGAGGAAACTGGCTGTCAGGAGGTGGTTGTCCGCCAGTGCTGTAAAATTCTCTGAGCTGTCTGGCTCAGTCTGCGTAAATCGCTCGGGTAACTTTGCTGTGTCCCAGCTGGATGTGGCCCTTTTAATTTACTTCTACCAAATTGTTTTGTCAAATATACCAGTCTGTTTTTTTTTTATGTCTTTAATTTTTAATTTGTGTGTTAGGTCAGTGACTTGTTACTCCAGACTGAGGAAACATTTATTTTCTCAGCACATTGTGTAAAGGTTAACCACATGTGCTAAGTTGAAGGTTACAGCTGTGTCCTGTTCTCCTCTCAGTTTTGACCTCAGGCCTGTGTTTTAGTAACTGATAGAAATACAGTTTAATTATGGTACAGACAGTGGCAGTTATAAAAAATCCTACATGAGGATGCAAAGGATGCAGAAAAGGCCCCAGAAAAGAAACTCCATATTGAAGCACATTAGAAATATCTTTATATAAAAATGAAGTAAAAATAAAAATAAATCCAAAAAACAGTTAAGCCATTTATTTTGTAATTTTCTCTATTATAAAGAAATCCCACTTAGGTATATGGTAGCTTAGTATATCTAAATTTTCTCTAAATTAATAAATACAGAAGACGAATTTAGAAAACCAAAACAATCAAATTACAATACTCAGCTGATTTTAGCCATCGTTTTAATGAGAGCTTAAAGAGACATACGTTTTTACTGAAAAATATCTTTAAAACTGCCTTTTTATTTAAACCTTTACAACTAAAACATGGTTTGATGAGCAGACTGACATCTCAGTAGTTAGGTAGTGCTGCATCTATAAGCCTGTAGTCTATTTTCCCTGCATGAACTTCGTATCAGAAGTTTCCGAGCTGTTCCTGCAGATGTGAGGTCAAGCTTGTCCATGTTGAATTGGTCCAACCTAGCAAATAATCAAAGCATTATATTCAATATTAATTTGTTAATACTCAGAAATGTCTGGCATCCAGCTCAACTCAGACTCCAATGGTGAAAGGTGAAAAAAGTAAAAAAAAAACATACTGATTGGTCAAATCTACATCCTCTACACCAGGGGTCACCAACATGGTGCCCACGGGCACCAAGGGGCCTTCAAGGACCACAAGGGGTGCCCTTAGAGTCTTCTGAAAATAGAACAACTCAACAGTGAGCTACGTTTGAAATTTCACTGTATTCTGTTGCTCTTCTTTTTTTTTATTGGGTTATAGAACATTTCATCATTTAATCATATATGGCATTTAAGCATTTAGAGAGATTTCAAAATGAAACTGTCTAAAAGAAAATTACAAATTTAAAGAAACGATAAAGATATGTTTATAATGTATGAAGTTTAGATGAACGTTGACCCTTGCCATTCATAGTTCAGTATTGGTAGCCCTTCCTGTGACTCACGGCCCCTGAATTGGCCCTCAACTGTAAAAAGGTTGGTGACCGCTGCTCTACACTATGCGTTTTCCTGTTTGGTACCTAATGGCAAAAACTCTGGCTGTAGTGCCGTCCACAACGCCTACCTCACCTCGGACATTATCCCAGACACCCTGCAGGACGCTAGTTTGTAGCTCCGTGCGATGGTCTGTTGGTGTGCACCAGAAGCCAAAACACGCAGCGCCACAGCGAGCCTTTCGGGAACACCCACGGGTGAACTGTGTGTCGTCCGGCGTTGGATGAGGGGCTGTACATGGTGAACAAGCTCATCAAATGGACACATGGACACCCACAATCCTAGCTAGTTCATAACTGTCTGTCTTGTGTTGTGGCGTAGTGCAGACCACGCTTCAAAATTGGACATAAAAATATCTGCTTCATACCTGCGGCATGGTAATTGCGACACACCGCTGTGGGAGTATAACCAGCCCTTAAGGCTTTACAGCCGGGGGGCAGTTGCTCCACCCATTGCCCCCCTGTATTTCTGGCCCTGGGTGCAGACAGTGCAGCATAGTTTGTACTGTATTTATACCCAGCTCAGAATCCAGACCGGGGCAGTAAAGAATTGCTAAGGAATTTCTTGATTAGTCAAATAATTTATATCAGTTGTTGATGGACTGCCTCTGATTTTCCGCACACAATAAAAAAAGTTTAGTTTTTTTTTTTTTTTTTTCTGAATGATTTTCATTCTTATTCATGGTAAAATGGAGGCTATAGGGACTAATTCATCTCTTGTCTTGCTCAGCTCGCCATGGACCTCAGACAGATGGGGCAGCAGCACAGACAGCAGCCAAATCTCTTTTTAAATATCATGATGTTCAAACTAAAGCTTTTAGTTTATAAAGCAGGAGAAAATAAATTGCTTTTTAAATATTGTTGAGCAATTTAAATAGTGTTAAGAGGCGATTTATCAATAAGCCATATTAAATACAGACAGGAAATGTACTGGTGTTGACCTAGGGTTAATCAGAGCAAGATATTTATTTAAAATCTGCAGCATTGTTTGCTGGCACGCAGCACAACATTTCTGTAAACCATTTGATTATTATTATATATTCTTAACTGCATATTTTTGCTACTGAGTTTACTTGCTTCTACATTGTTTTTAATGAAAGATGAAATTTAAATTTTTTCACCAAATGGGTTGTTTAACATTGGGGCATCCTTGATTTATAGATGGGGTAATGCAGCTTGTTAAACTAATAGATTGCTCAAATGATCATCAGCTACTTTAGTTATCAAATTATTAACTTGAGTGTTCAGACTCTAAAACATGTCATTTGCTGAATGAACCAATATAGCATTTTGCATCAAGGCCTAAAACCCCGCTTGGTATATATAAATGCTATATTTAAAACCCTCAAGTGCCATATTTTTAGCTTTACCTGATTATTAAACACCTTTTGCTGTTTGATTATTAAAAGGTTAATGAAAAAGTAGTCAACAGATTACTGAATAAGCAAAATTAATTGTTAGTTGCAGCCCTATTTTTTTGGGAAATGAATATGCAGCCATTCCATTTAGTTGTTCTATCCAGTTAGGGGATACAGTTAACTTTTAAATGGAAAAAATGAGTAGTAAAATTATTTTGAAATAATCCTAAAAAATACACCATTGCTGTATTTTCTTAATGCAACAGTCGTATTAAAGGTTAAAATGGTGCAAAGAAGATACATTTTTTCTTTTTCTTTTTTTTATTTGCAAGTAAGCGTAGACTAGCTGATACCAAGATTAGGAAAAAAAAAAAAAGATTAGAAAAAGCTTCACAAAGCTATTTCACCTTGTGTGATGCAAGGCTGCCCCTCCCCTGTCTGTTGCTGAGCACTGTTGGCCAGTTGGCTGAAAGTAAGAGCCTATATTTTTTTATTACATTTTTTTCTTATCACTTAACAGGTTAGACTAAAATAGCTTTTTAGAAATGTGTTTTGGTTGTATAAGATACACATGTCATTAAACATGGCAAGCTAATTATTGGATGTCTGTTAACCAAACTGCTATCTAACTTTCTAAGCAGAGAGCTTGCCTTATTAAGCCAAAATTAGCAGGTTCTACTAGTCTTATTTGAAAAGTACTACTGAAGTAGCACCAAATTTATTCGGTTTCTGTACTCAAAATGAAAATAAATAAACAGGAGAGTTGATATAATAAAAAATACAATAGTATGCTCTTTTAATAATAGTAGGTTTCGTCGTTTTACATTTTTGGAAATGCACAACAACATTATGTAATATGGGGATCTTCTTTGGGATTTAACCCTCTTCTAAAAAACTACAAAAACAGTCTACACACTTTATTTTTCCCTTCAAAGGTGTACTTCTCCATTCAGATGTTTGTTTTTTTTCTAAATGGAAAGACGGATATATTTACTTCAATTTCCTTTGGAAACTGCCTGTCCTGTTTTTCCTTGTGTGCTAAATGCA